TTCCTCCAAAGTTTCAAACTTGAGGACCAACTGGGGTTGGTCCAGCTAACTTGCAGTACAAATAAGTAATTTGTAGCATATGTAGCTTTTCTTCATTGTATGATGCAATAAGTGAGTTGGAATTAAATTCATCTGGGAATAAATTGTGATCAGCAACTGTCCTTGTTCAATGTTTGCCAGACACGGAACTGTTCACTTTACCATTAGTTCAATATAACATTTGTGGTTCATTAATTACCATCTCTCTTTTTTTCAATTAGATACCATCTTTATGTGCAAATCATGGTTCTCAAGTATACGCAAAGAAAAAAAAGTTTCTCTTTCTGCATCAAAATAACTTATTCTATAGTATTCAACAAGATAGGAGAGTAGTTGTGTAAAAGTCATGTAAGGCTAGAGGAGGATTACTAGGCAGTACCAGCACAAATTAATGAGAATACTATAAAAAGTTAAAAACTAATTAACGGACTCCTAGTAATATGCGTTCCTGCTGAGTGTTGAATGAAAATTTCAATTCTACAGAGTACTTTCTTTCTGGCAAAAATTTATCATCGCCCTTTTAGATGATTTTGGTTCCTTTATTTGGTTAGACACATAACAGCATCTACTTCGTTCCTGCAGGCATATTACTGGAACCTTGGAAAATGAGGACATTGTGACTGAGAAAGATCTGGAGCACTTTCTGCATCTTCTGGATGGTAAAGATGGAGAGATGGCATGGCAAACCATGATGGACCGCTCTACTTCAAACTTCACATATCAAGCTTGGCGGCATGAGCCTGAGGTCAAAGTTTACCTAAATTGTAATATGGTTTTCTTCAACATTTCTGGTTTCTAGAACCATATTCTTGAGAATTGTTCAGTGTTAAAAATAGCGTGAAGCGAGGAAAAGCGACAACCCCCATTTCACGAAAAGTGAGAAGCGAAGCGCCCGCTTTTTTGAAGTGAAGCGGAATTTAAAAAAAAAAATTAAAATAAATACGGCATAGACAACACATGTAATTGTAAGCAAATGTTCAATACTTGAATTGAAAAACTAAAGAGTAGCATCAATTAAAGCACAAAATGAGAAAGGCAATAAGAACTAAGAATAAAAAATATATAATTGGGCAGAAATTGGGCAGAAACGGGGCAGAATTTTTCTGAGAAAAATTCGCCAGCATTTCGGCGCTTTTTGGACGTTTAGAAAGAAAAAGAAAAAGAAAAAGAAGAAGAAGAAGAAGAATGAAAATAAAAACATACCTGTTGAAACTTGAAAGCTGTTGTTGTAATGTTGAAGAAGAAGAAGAAGAACCCTAGTTTGCTTGAACAAATCGTTGCTTCATGTGAGGAAGAAATCGCTGGTTTTTTTAGGAAGAAAAGGCTGGTTTAGAACCCTAGTTTGCTGCTGAAGAAGTGTCTAAAACAGAAGACTCAACGATTTGGGTCTTTTAATTGAAAAAGACTCGTTTGGGCCTTTTAATTCAAGAAGCGATCGCTTCTTCCGCTCCCGACCGCTTCACCGCTTCTCGCTTTTTAGAGAGAAGCGGTCGCTTTTCTGTACCTGAGCCGCTTTTAGTTGGGGTAGCGACCAACCCATCGCTCCGCTTCGCTTTTCGCTTAAAGCGAGGAAGCGGACGCTTTTTTTAACACTGGAATTGTTTGATCCATCTTTTACTTACATTACGAAACTTAATAAGCTACAAGGCTAAGACCGCAAGTGCGTGGTACTGGTACATCACTACAGGAGAAGCATTATGATTCCTCCAAAACTATTAGTATCTTCTTTTTGACCGGTAATGCGACTGGTACATGAGAGCATTTAGTCCAGCTTCTAGGTAGTTACAGCTTAAACATTTCCATAGCACAACGTAATCTACCTTGAGCTATTTATATGTTTGGTACTTTAGTATGAATCATGTCTAAGCTATGTTCTTTTGTTAATTTCCATTTGATGTGTTGATGTTTCAAATGATCCAAAGGCTAAAAATTATTCTATACATTTTCCAATTCAAGGATCAGATTATCTTTTCTATTAAGGGTCAGATCGCATAGGTAGGGGTTCTTGTTTTTGGGGCAAACTGAAGATGTCGTCTGCTAATAATTTTGTTAATGACTTTATATCAGTTTTCCTTCTTCCTGCAACTTTTAGATGCATGAATTAGTAACATAATTTCCTGTATTTCATATAATTGGACGGCCTTTAGTAATAGAGTCGCTGCTCTTACGCGATGAGTCCCCTTGCTGACACAGTTTAGATTTACCTCAGAATATATTATCATCTTTGCTTGCATTTGGATACGTCTTCTGTTCTGAAAATAAAAACAGGGGGAAGATCTTTTAGGTTAAATTCTTTGAGCTTTGATTTATAATATGTGCTTTCTTCCTCCTAGGAAATGAGGAGCACCTGTTTGTGTTCTACTATATCCATATTATTATTTAACATGGCAAAATAACATCAGAGACCTAGCTTGAGGGAGATATATACATGCTTATTGCTCCTTTTCTTTATTTATTTTTTTGTAGGTGTATCACTGCATAACCTTTTTGTTTTAATGATAAATTTTTGCTACTTTCAAATCCTCATATCAATTTAAGATATTACAGCTATATTACTGGGAAATTATAAAAAGTACAAAAAAGTTTTGTTAACTCTTTAATCCTCCATTAACCAGACCGTTTCCATGCCCTTCAGCTAAATACCAATATTCGATGTTGTATCGCTGGAGTAATAAACAATTCTCTTTTTTGATCTGTATTTCCCAAGCTGTAACTGCTTGTTATGTTGCATTTGCTAGGTGACTTTGTTTATGACCAAGGCTTTTTCTATCCATACAGTTAATTTAGATTTTCTTTTAAGCTTCTCTGTTCTCTCTTAGTGATTCTAACAGAACCACTCTATTTGTCAGATGGGACCAACAATCTACCGAACCAAAACTGTTTTCGAGGATGCAACTCCTGAGTTAGTCAGAGATTTCTTCTGGGATGATGAGTTCAGGCCAAAATGGGATCCTATGCTTGCTTATTTCAAGATATTGCAGGAATCCCCAGATACAGGATCTATGATTATCCACTGGATTAAAAAGGTTTGTTGATCATCGAAGCTGTGTCAGTGTTGCTGTGAGAAACTCCTTATGATTCATTTCTTCCATTAGCTTCTGCACTCATGAAACTTGTTTTTGCTGCTACAGTTCCCGTTCTTCTGCAGTGATCGTGAATATATCATCGGTAGAAGAATATGGGAATCTGGGAAAACATACTACTGTGTGACAAAGGTGAGCTTTAGAGGACCACGAGTAAATTTTGTTGTTGTGAATGCTTCTAATACAAGTTTTATTAATGACTGATCTGTGTATACAGCGATTCTCTTTAATACTGCTGCCACCTAGCATTTTTCAGGCCTTCTTGGAGTTTTGAGGCTTCTGTGTCTAAATCCCTTTAATAGTTTCCATGAAGTTCATAAATTTACTTATTTGTACTTGGACAAAGTTCTCCAATATTACACTTTCTCATGATGGCTTGTTTAGTTGGTCTGTTAACAACTCTATTTTTCAGAAACCATGTAGTTACTCATCATGTTCACATTTTTAACATGATCCACAGAGTGTACCATACCCATCTCTGCAAAGACGTGACAAGCCTAGGCGTGTGGACCTGTACTTCTCAAGTTGGATTGTTAAGCCGGGTAGGTAGCGCCATTACCAATGGGTGTTCAAAAAGGATTAACTTGGTAAAATTTCCTGTTGCCTGTTGCTTAAGTTGAATTTTACTCAAGTGTACACTCCTAAAATGGATGCAGTGGAATCGAAGAGGAGAGATGGACAGTTATCTGCATGCGAGGTCATGCTTACTCACTATGAAGATATGGGCATCCCTAAAGATGTTGCTAAATTAGGAGTTCGACATGGAATGTGGGGAACAGTCAAGAAATTGCACAACGGCTTCAGAGCATATCAAAATGCACGGAAATCAGAGGCAGCGGTTTCTAGGTGTGCAATGATGGCGCGGATCACTACAAAAATGTCGCTGGATGAAGGTGTTGATGCTTTGGAGCGAGTTTCTGCTGAAGAAGACAGAGCAGTGGAAATCCAAGGCCAGAAAGGAGACAGAGGGATAGATTGGAAATGGGTGGCTATTGGAGCAACAGTTGCTGTCGTTTGCGGCCTTCGTACCGGAATGATAGGAAAAGCGGTGTTACTTGGAGCAGGGCAAAGGATTGCTCGGCGAGGCAGAAATGCATAGTGAGGAGTGGTAGCATCCCCTATTTGTAGCAATACGACATTATTATTATTGTATTATTCTTTATTGTTTTGCACTAAAGCCTTTCGTGGCCACACAACCAGGCATTGTGGAGGAAGTTATTTTTCTACTTTTGGCATAAATATTTCATTTTTATGTCAACAGTTTACCCAGCAACCTAAAGAATCCCAAGTGTGCTCACATGTTCTTTATGTGATTTAAACCTAACTTATCAATGGCTAGCGATGGTGTTTGGTTCAATTTGAGACGTTTTTATGTTGAAATAAATACTGAGGCAATGTTTGTTTATACCTAATGAAAGTATGAATATGACTGATTGAGTCAGATCTTAAATAAAGTCTGAAAATCGTTCAAACGTTTTAAATTTATTGCTCTTTTCTTATCTCCAATAATAAATTCTAACAATCATCAAACTCCTATTTCTCTGATCCATCTCCTTGAAGAAGCACAATATCCATGGCGAAGTCACTCTCCCTCTTCATGTCACCTCTTCTCAGTCGTCAGCTCAGTGGATACAATAAATTACCGATTCAGTCTCTAACACAACGGAAGCAAGAAACAATCGTCATATCTGACAAACGGAAATGGCCACAACCATCCATTCTCAGTTCCGTATATAAATTTACTACCACTGTGACAAACATGACCAATCAGATTATCATTGTGCGACACCCCAGGAGGTGCGCTCTGTGTGTGTGTGGTTGGGGGGGGGGGGAGGAGGGGGGGGGGGGAATTTAAGCTTTTAACATCAACACAGAAAAAGTTGATAGGAAAACACTTAAATAAACTATTGAACAAATAATTAAACATGCAATAGATCCACACCATAAAAGAAACGAAAATTTTAAAGTATCGTTTGTTCCAACTTGGTTTTCCGTCTGCCAATCTAACTGAACCTTTCAAAATGCACTCCTTCCTCTGAGAAACAGTCTCTTCACTTCTACTCGGGAAAAGATGGTTGTGTCCTGAAGTAGAGATATTGCCATCACCGTATTTATGTAGTCTGCATTCAAGGTGAATAACAGTAAGAAACATGAGGGAGCAAAATCACATCTAACAGACTCCGGACCTAATTGCTTTAAACAAAACTGATTCCATGAGCTTTACGAAATTCATCAGAGATTTTAGCATCCAATAAACCACGTGCAGGTTCAAGTATTCCACTCACTCCCTCATGCTATCATTGTCAGCTTCCTCTTCACTTAAATCAAGATCAGCCAACAATTCCTCCAATGCGACAGTAGGGGCATCATCCCCATCAGTCACAGATGCCATTTCTGATGGCTGATACTCCCTGTTGCGATAAAGAGATATGTTGAACCTCAAATCAGGATTCTCCTCTAAATCTCTTAAGAATTGTTCATACTCAGAGCTCATCTTCTCTTCATGGTCTCTACCCTTTACATTGTCATCAATCTCCATATTTAGAGATTTCAGTTTCCATAAACGAGGCTTCCCACGCTTCTTCTGCCATTTCTCTTCATAGCTTTTCTTAACCAGTATCACATCTGGGAGAACAAAACCTTTATACTTGTCCAGCTCATTATCATTACTATTAGCAGCATATAAGTCATACCCAAGTGCATAATCCCCAGGATTAAGAAGATGCCCCAGATGTGTTCGTACATAGAAAATTGTATCATTCTTGCCAAAATCAGATACACGAGCTACTTGGGCATCTGCCAAAGCGTACTTAGATCCACCAATATTGACCTCAGAAGAAACACTCTCAACATCTAGAACTATATATTCCACAAGCTGCCTACTCGAAAGTAGGGACTTAAAAGACGCCCTCCAATACTGTTCCGCGTCCAGAAAACAGTTCCTGAGAGTAAATGGGTCAAGTAAAGCAATGTTATTACTCACCTTGGTGCAGATCACAAGTGGCCCAAGATTCCCCAAACCATCTTTAACTTTTGGCGGAAGACAAATCAAATCCTCACGGCAAACTGGGCAAATTTCAACTGAAAAAGTATACTTATAGTTGTAAATGCTACTCTTGGTATCATGAGACACCAGTTGTTTGTCATTACGGCTCCGAATTGGAACCACTTTCCCTATAAACTCCACAAATTTCACAGCATGACTACGATTAGAGAAGAAAATATCAATTCCTTGATCCATTTGCTTAATCCTTATAGCACGAGCAGCGGCATCATGCTTAAGAATAAGCTGTTCCAAATAGAAGAACGTCCGCCTGTGAGAAACATGCTGTCGCAGCTGCACTGCAGCCACCCACTGGTCGGGATTAGCCTGAACCCTCGTACAAGAATCACACATTTGGTCTTGGATAACATATTCCACAGTGTAGGCTTGCTCAAGGATAGCTCCGTGAAGAACCTCTTTCTGAACCTTCAGCTTGACTTTGATTCTCTTGGAGTGAGGTTCAGTCCAAATGAACTCTGCATGTACTAAACGAACTTTATTCAAATTCTTCAACCTCTTCACACAGAATGTCAGTAGCTCCTTTGATTCTAATTGGGCTTTAAGCCAAGTCCTCGGAGGCTGCAAATAGCTATCACATTCAGGGCAATGACATATGATAACATGCTTCTGGAGACCTTCTGTTATGTCAACTTCAGACCTCAAGCAGTTGGCACACATATTGGCAGCATTTGGTTGCATAGAAATACCACATTTGCAGCATAAAACACTTCCAATTGTTCGATGCACTGTAAACATGCCCGTGTCTTGTGCCATGGCTGGAAAGAGACAGACAAGAGAGCAGTAAGCATAATAAGAACCAAAACATTATGAAATATGCATCAACAATTTTAAGTTACCAAATCAACCTAACAAGTATGTGATATATTGCAACGCCAAAGTCTACGGTCATATCTGGTTGGTAAAAGATTCTTTGTATGTACTGCGGCTCCAAATTACCATAGAAGTTACAAGGCGCCAAGGACAAGCTACTGGAAATTTAATTCCAGTAATCTCAATGCTATGGCTTAAAAATAAGTGAACAGGAAATATAAAGGTGGAATACCGTTTAAAGCCATGATCAAGAGTTCTTTTATTTTTCAGGTAACCTTTAGGCTCTAGTCCAAGGATAGAAGAAGCACAAATAACTGCACTTCTTGAACAGATTTAAATTAAAACCAGATAAAACTTCAAACATCACCTACAGTTTAGACTCCCATTGATTAATTTCTTCTATCTTTCCTTGGATAACAGCTTAAGATAAAAAGGAGAAAACCGTGATTGTGGCTGTAAGAAGGATCTAACTTTATGTTTCCTTTTCACCTTGTTTTAGAAAAAAGAACACCTTCATCAGAAAATTGTACATAGATAGAACCAAATATCTTTCCTTTTTAGTTCGACCGCTCATTTCGAAATTGAGGCCACATACATATACAAACACCTGTAAGTGCATTCTTTTACAGATCAACAACATAGGATAATACGAGATTTTAAGGCAACTGAGCAAGACAAACAAATATTAGTATTTCTTGTTCTGAAAGCACTAGCGACACACATAGGTCGTCTTTGTTCTAGTACCTCAAAAGCCAAAAAAAGAAGTGCCACCTACGGTATATCATCCAAATGTGAAATGAAATTCCAGTATCACCCAAATTATACAGCAATGGCTTGGGCTGATCCTAAATATAGCCACCAGTTCCATAGATTTCGACATCAAACCTAAATGGGTTTCAGGGGACAAAATATCCGCAAGGTTTCGATTTACTGAAAAGGTAATACAACATGAGATGTATGGTACTTGCACGTTGCAAATCTGCACCCCGACTGGTATTTTAAGTGGAGAAGGGCAAAGGGAAACATTCATCATCCACAAAGTTCTGAAACTAGAAACCATGGATTTCTCAGTTATCAAACAACAATACATCTCAATTCCAAGCTCTTTTGTGTCAGCTATATGAATCCTTACTATTCATGCTGCTCCATTTAAAACGTTCTCAATCCAATATTCAATAATTTAGACTCTAACCCAAGAATTTCTCTACATTTTCTACTGATATACAAATCTCTAAAAACATCAAGGGACACCTAGCAGACCAGATATTGGACCTAAAATAATAATAAAAAATATTTTGTCCTAAGGAGCAAAAAGAAAAATAGAGAAAACACATATAAAACTAAACAAAACAAGAAAAAACGAGTTGCCAATTATATAGAGAATCCATCAATAAGCTATGGCTTAATCCAAAACTTGTTTTGCTCCGCTAAATGAATCCTCTATATTTATTCACAGTTTCTTAATAAAATAAAGAACTCAACTTTATCAAAGAAACTCGTGAATTAACTGTGAAATTAAAACCCAATAACTCAAAATGAATGGAAATCAAGTAGAGGAAATCACCTGTGGAAGTCGGTCGTAGGCGGCGGAAGAGAGAGACTGAGAGAGGCAAAAAGAGCAGAACTGAGAACGAAAACCTAAGTCCTGGGGTTTTGGGGGGACTTTTTTAGTAAATAGGTTTATTCACTTTTTATATTTGTAAAATCAGAATTATTAAAAATTAAACAATAAATGATCAAGGTCGAGGGATAAGAGAGATGTTTACAATAATAGACAAATTTTCTTTATAATCGATTATTTTAAGTTAGAATATACTCCATCCGTTCACTTTTAGTTGTCAAGTATTCTAAAAATAAATTTTTACTTTTACTTGTCACTTTTCGCAAGAGAAAAATAATTTATTTTTTCTATTTTGCCCTTAGCATTAATTACTCATTCCAAATTATTTTCCAAATCCATTAAGACAATACACCAATTAATGTGGGTATCATGGTAAATTATGCACCTTATTTATATTTCTTAAGGGTGTACAAAGTCAATAGTGGATAAGTAAAAATAAATGGAGGGAGTACTTCTTTCCAACAACATTTTATCTATAATAGCAATATATGATATTTGTAACATTGTCTTTTTATAAAATTCTCTATAGTAGCCTTACTAAAATATTTTTAGATTTATTAGGTTTTTACTCAGAGAAATTGTGCTTTATATTCTGAATAATGATGTTTATAACCTAATGAACCTGGTCCTTGATGATAAGTTGAAGATGTTTCTAACATTGTATTGATGTTGAGCTGAGTTCTAGCAGGGCCTAAGTGTACAAAAAGCATGGCCTAAGTGTACAAAAAGGCCACAGTTTGTAATCATCAAAAAGGGGAAATTTGTTGGCCCAAGTAAAGGTTAGTTTTGAAGACTGACAAAGGAACTCATACATGAACCAGGTCCATCCTAGTGGAGCACAGATACGGATAGACTTAAGCATATGAGATGCACGTGAAGGAGATAAACCTAACTTGCCAGAAGTAATATCTCCTGATCTTGATCGAAAAGGTTGCATATTAGATAAGGAGAAGGACTCCTTACTCAAAGAGAACACAGTTTAAAAAAGGGAAGGAGTTAGAGGTTGAGATCAACTAGAACTCTTCCACCAAGGAAGAGTAGCATCAGAATTCTAGTCAATCTCTATTTACTAACTCTATAAATATCAGTGTTGTTCTCTTTTACAGGTAACGCACATAAGCAGAAGTTAAACGTGAATTGAGAGCAAAATAGCAAGGCAATTTTGCAAGCAGTTTGTGTGTGATTCAAGTGTGCAAACCTGAAGCTACTTGAACCAGATAGAAAAACTAGTTCCAAGTGTCTGTCTTTTATTCTAGTTCAATTGTAGTAGGTGTTTCATATTGTACCTTTCAGCTTTATCTAGAAGCAATTGCATTAAGTACTCAGAGTTTTCGAGTTAGAGTTAACTTGAAGTTGTCGTAACAGTTAAGTTGTGTGCTACAACGGGATTAGAGTTAGTCTTAGGTTTACAAAAGAGTTTTTGTAAATGCAGTTTTTGGCTCAGTGATTTTAGTGGAGAGTTTGGGAAAATCCTACTGGAAAGTAGGTCGTGGTTTTTTTTTCACCTTTTGAGCCAGGTGTTTTCCACGTAAAATACTTGTGTTCTTTACTTTCCGCATTTATTATTTTTGCAATAGTAGGTTAAGGAACACTTAGAAGAACCAGGTCCTTCCATAATCAGTTTAAGCGAAAAATTGATCATTACACAAATCACCCCCCCTTCTTGTGTGATATTGAAGTATAAAACATCAACTGGTATCAGAGCGGGTTATCCTTGAAGAGGCTAACACCTTAGGAACAGATCAAGATGAGTGCACCACCTGGGAACTGGGAAGGATAATCCACTGTAAGGCCTCCACTCTTTAATGGCCAGTACTACTCCTGGTGAAAAAACAGGATGAGAGATCACGTCATTGGAGAGGATTATGAGCTATGTGACATTGTCACTGAAGGTCCCCTGGCTACCTTGAAGAAGAATGCTGAAGGAGTAGATGTGCCAAAAACAAGAGCTGACTGCAATGCAAGGACTTGAGGAAGTGGGAAAAGAATGCTAAGGCCAAGAAATGGCTTGTTTGTGGACTTGGTCCAGACGAGTACGGTAGAGTTCAAAGTTGTACCACCGCCAAAGAAATCTGGGACACTTTGCAAGTGGCTCACGAAGGAACTCCTCAAGTGAAGAGATCAAGAGGAACACTGCTGTATTCTCAGTATGAGAATTTTACTATGAAGGAAGGAGAAACCATCCAAGAGATGTATACAAGGTTCACAACACTAACAAATGAACTTAAGTCTCTTGGAAGGATTATCCTTGAAGAAGACAAAGTTGAGAAAATTTTGACAAGGGTCTTGCCAGTCACTTGGGAAAGCAAAATCACTGCTATTCGGGAATCAAAGAACATTGCCACTCTCAAGTTGGACGAGCTAATCGGAAATCTCACTGCCTATGAACTTAGAAGGCAAACCATGAAGATGGATGCACCCAAGAAGGAAAGGAGCCTGGCTCTCAAAATCACTGAAGGTGCTGTTCTAGAGGAGGATGAAATGGCTATGATCACAAGGGATTTCAATAAGTATCTAATGAGAGGAAAGGGTTCTTCAAGAAGTGCAACCTACAACAAACCAAGGGTTCCTGAAAAACAGTCCAACGAGGGCTGCTACAAATGTGGTAAGACTAATCACATCATCAAAAATTATGATCGACTCCAACCCTATACCACTATAGAATGGCAAGAGTGGTCGATGCAGCTTTTACCCGAGGGGTCGGGATCATTTTCACAGAGAGCTAAGATAGGTTTGGAATTGGGTTTCTATCTAATCTAGCAATGTGCGATGTTCTTGATTGCACTTCCAATCATTCTTTGTTTGGTTACTATTCTACTTTAATACTAATGAAGTAGGAAAATAAGCTCAGTATGATATTTTTTTGTGAGGGTTTTCTTAATTGATAAAAGGCATTAGAGAAGAGACTTATACCTAGGTGAGTATCTAACGGGGTCTAAAACTTAGGAAAAATTTATTATAATTGGGATCATGATATAGCCGTTGCATATAACTACTCACTCTATACCTCTCGGTAGTTTGAGTAACTTTGCCCTAATTGGCTTTCTCAAGCCCAATTAGGTGTTCAAACAATGCAAGCAAAATTGGCTCAAGTCGGGTATTACTATCTCTAGGTTTAACCCTTTAATTGGGGCTATCAACCTCCTGAATGCACCCCAATTCCTTGTTAGCCTGAATTTTCTAGACTTAGTCTCTCTTCCTCAAGAAGAGCCTAAGTCAAAAAGGCACTGTTACGCCCCGCAATATTACGCCAATATTACATCCTGCAGTATTATATTACGACGATGTCGCACCCTGTAGTATTGTACGTTGAATTTGTCGTAAGGTAATTGACATCAGTCCAAGGAAAAGATTATTTGGAGATTATAAGGATTATGCTATTTCACAAGTGATGAGTAAATTCGTGAAGGTGAAAGGGGAAGCAAGTCAAAGAAAATGAATTTTCGTCCAAGTTTGGCATGTGGGGATAAAATAAGGGCCGAACGTTAATACCCGATATTTACGGACTAGTACCATACAAGGTACCATATGACCATGATAGTGGAATATATAAAGTGTATTAAAAATAAGTAGAATTTTAAGTAATTTGAGACAATTCTTAATTATGCGGGTAATTGATTAATTACCGGATAACGGGATATTACCTAATTAAATTAATTGAATAATTTTGGATAAAGATGGGAAAAGTGACGTGGCAGCAAGCCACTTCCAAATCTATGACTCTTACTCATTATTTATTAGGTGGCAAAATCAATAAGTTAGTACCAAGACACTACATTTCTTACACAAAAAAGAATCCTACAAATGTTAGCTTTTGCCCATTAACTATAAGACACTAACGTTGGCCATTTTAATAAGTCTTCAACTTTCCAATCTCAAAAAACATTGCAAATCAGATTTTATACCTTAAGCAATGTGATTCCTACAATTTTCAACAATTCCAGCGAGAATTTTTAGAGTCAGCAACGGAGAAATTTTGCGGTTCTAAAGGAGTACGGTGCAACCTTTTCCAAGAAAATTATACGGATTTTTCCCTACTCTAAGTATGTTAAGGCTAAATCCTTCCTTTATTTTGGCATAATCCCGTAATACCACAAAACGTGGAAAATTATGCCGAATTGCAATAATGCAAAAGTTGTTTATGCAGTGCAAAATGATGAGGGAACAATAATATGTGGAGTATTATGTAAGGATTTCCTAAGTGAAGGTGTTGAGATACTCTTATTCCTAATAATAAGTTCTCTAACGAATGTCTTGAAATATTATTCAAGTACTTGGCTCGCGCTTGAATAGCAGCATCAGGTAACCAAGCCTAACGAAATCAAGTAGGAGAAATTGTCATGAGATCGTAATAGACCTTATGTCCTTAGTGCTTGTCTTTTGAGGAAGAAAAAGAGTTGAACTCATTTCCAGGTCATACATGACTTCTACATCTGCATAACAACACTTGTTGCAAGGGGTCTCTTTTGGCCTTTTACTAGTTCCAACTAATAACCAAACTTAGAGCCCAAATAAATTAGCACTTCACACTGATACAAGCATTAATTGGCACAACCAAAGCGTAAAATAATCCTGGTTTAGTCAACGAGCATAAGCTTACAAACACCATATGTCATTACATAAAGAAAATGAATGATTAAATAATCAGGAAATCCATTACACGAGTTTGATAACGAGGCATAAAAAAAAATTCATATCCCAGAATTTACGTATATTTTGCTAGTCTCGCAAGTTACGTATATTTTCCTAGTTTATAAGTTACAATATTCTCCTTATCGGGACTTCATATTCAATTGAGCATTTCCTTCTTCCAGTCAAGAGAGAAGAGGGTATATACATACAGTATTAAAGTATTTTCATTACCATCGAGCTATAATCAATGGGCAGGCCCCTATTCGGCAACCTTTGATCAGATGGTAAGTTATATACCGAGCCTACTGTGGCCGAGCGCCTATGAGCGAGCCCAGTTGGTCGATAGAGCCTAGTATATATATATATATATATATATATATATATATATATATATATATATATATATATAT